AAGACAAAACATCGTTATGACTAGGGGTGCACCGAATGGAAAATTCTTGGCCGAAACCGATACCGAAAATAGGAAACAGTTGGCCGAATGCCGAAAGGCCGAAAATGATTAATAGAAATATATATATATATAATGTATACATTTTTTACCAATGTTGTTCAGCTACCTGATTATGGATAAAAACATGATTATGGCAAAACTTAACTTAAATAATAATCACTATTATGGGTCCATAAAACATTTATTCAGCACTTTTGAATGCATACAGTACATTAATTCCAAGTCAAGTGCATTTTCTCTGTAGGATAACTACAACAAAGTGCATTCAGAACAAAGCCAAGGTGCTTTAAAACTGCATAAACATCTAGGCCAGTAGGCCTACAACAAAATAGTGTAAATAAAGACTGTAACAGCCAGGCCTTCAACAACAACAAATGCACCTATACAGTTTGGTAACCTAACGTGTTGTTGTGATGACGTAATCAAAACGCGGCGACAAGCACGGCGCGCGACCATGCTCGCGGCTGGCTCACAGCCAACATGTCTGCCGCTTGGAGATATTTAAAAATATCAGAGAAAGAGGAGCGGATTGCAATTTGTAAAACGTGTTCAGCTGACATTTCTCGAGGGGGTGTAACTGCAAAGACTTTCACCACTTCGGGATTACTCCACCACTTGAAATCAAAACACCCGGACAAATATGCGGAGTAAGATCAACGTACCCCTGTTCTCTGACATTCGGTGAATGAAAGCCGAAAGGGCCTTTTTAACCATTTTCTGCCGATAATTTTCGGTGGCCGAATATTCGGTGCATCCCTAATTAAAACAGTAAAAACACGTTTAGTTTCCTTTTGCTTTTTTGTGTCTCCTGTTCACCAAAACATACCATCTGTGATGGAAAAATAAAGTAATCTAAAAGTAATCTGATTGAAGACGCGTAACTGTATTCGGATTACTTTCAGAGCCATGTATTCAGCAATCAGTAACAGATTACATTTACAAAGTAACCCTCCCAACAAGCAAAGAG